TCGGTTCGAGGGCCTGGTTCGGGGGCCGACTTGGCATCCTCTGCCTCCTTCCTCTCTCTGGCGATTCGGTCAAGCTCCTTATTTCTCCTCCACCTCCCGATGTCTGAGTCGGGGTCAGTGATTTCGCTCTGGTAGGCGCTCCAGGCTCGAGCTCTTGCTGCCAGGTCGTTCCCGGCTCGCCTTGCCCTTCCGGTATATCGAACGGCAGCGGCTCGTATCCGGTTATCGACCTCGGCCTGGGTTGCGTCGGGCTCGAGAGGGAGGTCCCACCAACCGTGGGGCCCCTGGAGGGTGTCCTCTTCGGCTCGGCGGATACGTGCGTCATGCGCTCTGCCTCTGTCCATTCTGGCCTGGACTTCTGGGGACTCCCGGGACATCTCGAGGGAGTCGGAGGGACTCGACGTACGTGTGGTAGAGAAGGGGCCACAGTACGCTGCGAGAGGGGGACGGGGTCGGCGAATGCCCTTGACGCGACGGACGGGGTCCAATTGGAGACTCCGGCGAGACGCTCGGCTGCGGTAATTGTCCCAAGTTCTTCGGTGTCGAAATCTGGGAACTCGCTCCAAAGCTCCCGACTCGTCGGCTCGACCGAGGGGACGGAGGGAGGGAGCGTTGGGGCCTCGGCCCTTTCAGAGACCTGGTCGGACTCTGCTCCGGGCGCGTCTCTGGCCACAGCAACCTTCTTCCCCGTCGTCTGCGTAGACCCAACTGGTGTCGGGGTACCAGGTGACTGGGGGGCCTCTATCGGTCGGCCAGGCCCTTGGAACAGGCTGTGGCTGAGCTGTACTGGTGGTAGCCGCGGAGGCTCCGAGGCCAAGCTCTCTGGGATCGTCGTAGAAGTCGTCTCGGCGACCCCTGTTGCACGCAATTCTTGCGCGGTCTCTTGCGTCGTCTGCCGCGATCCTTCTGTCGCGGACCTCCTTCCATGTGCCTGCATGTCCCCACCCGGAGTGGGTTCTCTCACACGTGGAGCTTCTGGAATCGGTGGCATCTTCCTCCTCGCTCGGGTAGAGGTCGTTGAGGAGGTCGTCGAGTCGAGTCCTTTCCCACTCGGTGAGCTCGTCCCCTTCGAACTCGGTGTCAGGGCTTTCTTCGCCCGTGACCAGATTCCTGGTGTCTTGTCCTCCGCTTCCGTCGTCGCCAGACTTGCCTTGGACTGGAGACTGGTCGAAGAGACCTGGTAAGGGCGAGTCTCCTCGGTCGAGGAGTACCCCCCGGGTATCGGTGATGTCGATGGAGTCTGCTGGTGCGCTGGAAGCGCTTCTGTAGGAGTCGGTGCTCGACTCTGAGGATCGCGAGCTGGGTCGCGACGAGGTGTAGAGGGACCCTCCAGGTCCCCCGGAGTTGCCGGATTCGACATCTCCGATCGTCTGTTGGGATGCCGAGGGAATGTCGATTACCGGCGGTGGATACGCCGGTGCGCTGGGGATGTAGTGGAACGGAAGTTGTGCGCGGATTTGTCTCCGCTGGCAGCAACGGCGAAGTTGGTACAAAGTAATGGACAAGAAAAAGAGTATAAAAGTCGCGAAGATGGCGAGAATGGATTCTGACCAGGGCATTCGTCAGAGGGTCTATCCGTGGCGTAAGTCGACGATTGACCATGCAAGCTGATAAACAGCGAGTATGGTGAGGACAATCAGAAGGGCGATGATCAGGCTGAGGTCGGTCTCGTAGTTGGAACCGTTCATCAGCTGAACTTCGCAGGAGTCGTCAGATGGGGAACTCGTCACTATTAACAATGCGATTGTTAACAGGGAGGCGAGTTGGAGAGCGAGAACGAAAGGTTTAATGTTTTTAGAAATGGCGTAGGAATCCGACCCAGAGTAGCAGGAGGAGTCCTGCAAACACCGGGGATGGGACGTATACGCAAGCGAGAAACACTCGCAGGATGGTTACGATAACCAATCCTAGAGGGTCGTTAAGGAGAAATTGCAGCACGGAGAGTGCCACAACCAGGAAGAGAATAATAGGGAAAATATTGGGCAACGGTACGTCGTTGGGCAATAGAAGACGAGCTTCGGCTAAATGTTAGCCACTAACTCAAATCGACTTAGATCGTACTAGGGTCGCTACTCGCACTTCGGTAGACGACGCTCTAGCAAGTCAAAGGCGATGTAAGTCGATGGGACACGTAGTCACGAAGGACGGAGTTCGATGTTAGGTAGAATTAACCTTAGCCGAAGCTGGGGTTCAGACCAGCTGAGGCTCTACTTAAATACACGTGAGTATTCTAAAAATACCACTGCGCAGTCAGTCCGTGATGATCGTGCACTGCGTAATCCGGCTGACTAAAGAAAAGAAAAGAAAAGAAAAGGAAAGAAAAAGAAAAAGAAAAGAATAATCGTAACAATTAGATGTACTCACTCCTTGAGTCAAGGGAGTTAGTAGATTCTATATCCAATCCATAATCCTCAGATTCTGAAGTGAAGCCATATTTAGGCATCTCTTGATCATCCAGAGGTGTGGTGTATTGAGATTCTAGAGCAAATAAACCTTTGCCACCATCTGAGACTGGAAAGACTGTTGAAAGAGCCAGGAGATGATATAGTTATACATCCTCTTGTCTGGTTCTTCAAGTGTCACAAATTGTGAGCCCCTATGTGGTCTTCCTTGCTTTCATAGTGATTGATGAGTTCTTCAACATTGGTGAGGTTACTCCTCTTGACCCAGATGGCTTCCTCCACTGGATATCCCTTCCACTTGACCAAATATTCCATTATGATCCTCCGGTTGCATCCTCAGCTGATAACATAGTCACAGTCTTGAAGTAGCTCCTCTACTTCATATTCTTCTTCACCATCCATGAGCTCTGGCTCAGGTGGTGGTGGTTTCTCCCGGTTCGGAAACTTTAGGAGGACATATGGAGTAAGGTATCGTTCATTGAATCAGTTGTGAATCTTCCAACCTGGGAGCAGCTTTAGCTTGTAGGCTGAAGCCCCACTTTAGAGACCACTGTAAAGGGGCTAACTTGCTTGTCATCCAGCTTCTTAGAATAGCACAGGAGGTGAAGGTTGGTCAAGTCCAACCAGACTTTATCACCTGGTTGGTACTCCTGTGCAGAGCACATGTGCCTGTCATACACATCCTTCATGGTTTCTGCCATCTTCTCCAGGGATCATTGGGCCATTTCATGGACTTCCTGTAGGCTTTTGATGAAGTCATCTATGATGATGAGTATTGTGTTGTAGCCTTTTGATTCTGGAAATCCGGTGACCATATCAACCAAAATGTGTTTCCATGGTCAAGATGGTACCATGTTTGGGTTAAGCAGTGTTGCCTTCCACTTTGTGTCTGTCTTGGTTCATTGACATGCTTCACAGCCCTTGACATAGGTTTCCACATCCTTCTGCATCCTGGGCCACCAGTATTCCCATAAAACTAGTTCCTTGGTTTTCTCAATACCCAGGTGCCTGGCAGAGATGTGGTTGTGGTAGTGGGAGATAAGTTCTCCCTGAAGTGCATAGTCTCAAGAGACATAGATTCATCTGTTGTAGAACAGCAGATGACCCTTCTCAACAACTCCCTTGGCATAATTAATAGAGTTGGAGATTCCTTTATTCCATCATTGTGGGTCCATTGTGGCTCATCTAATCTTGGCATGGACTTCCTCCTCTGTGGGCATGATTAATGCCTGGAATAATTCTGGTTTTAGAAGGACAAGAAGGACAATGTCATTGTTGTTCTTCTTTCCCTGATCATGATCCACCCTTTGACTAAGAAGGTCAGCTTTCCAGTTGGATGCTCCTAGTTTGTGGTGGAGCATGAAGTGGTATTCTGCTAACTCAATCACCCACCATGCTTGTCTGCGGTTGAGTTTCTGAGGTTTGCTGAAGTATTGCAAGTTCAAGTGATCTGTCCAGATCTCAAAGTCTTGCCATGTGCTCATTAGATAATGTTGCCATTCTTCCAGGGTGATCATTATTGCAAGCAGTTTCTTGTTGTAAATCTTGTAGTTCCATTCCATTGCAGAAAGAGATTGTCAAGCACCAACTTGACTATGCAAGATCAAGCCTTAGTTCATCACTCGCACTTCGGTGAAGCAAAACAAAGGTAGCAATGCGGAGCATGATTGAGTGTTCAGGACTTAATTAGTCGTGGAACTTGGAGTTCAGGTAAAGTTGGGAGTATATGACTTTAGCCGAAGCTGAAGTCTAACCACAGCATAGGCTACTACTTAAATACAAGTTTGGTGCATTAATAATAACCGTGCTACTATGGTTCCATGATAGAGAATGAGTGCGACATGGCCAATGGCAATACACCAGCAGAAGGACTGTCCAATGGTGAGTGGCCAGCTAGATGAGCAAAGTTCTGGAGGGATCGTGCCCTTGTGGCCGGGACTCCACCTGAGTAAGAATGTCTGAGCTCATCCACCATGAACCAGGGATCAAGTGATGCAGAAGCAACTGTTGATTGATTGGAACAAAGATACCATGATGGAAGGATGGTGTGATGCCGGAGTATCGGCATGGGTTACAAATGAGCCGGATAGGAGTGATGATGAGAATCAGATGACGATCGAGAAAGAATGGCATAAAGCAAATAACTAAGGCAAAAAATAGGGGTGAATTCATGACATTACCCCCCCACTAAGACTCGGTTGTCCTGACTGAGTCAGTGTCAGATTCGCCGTCTGAAGATGGGTAGGAGTTGTCCGAGTATGAATTTTCATTCTCGGCATCCATTAAGAGAGCTCCTAAGTGTTGCTCATACTCTAGTATGAGCTCTTCCGCATTGGCGAGTTGACTTTGCAGTACCCATGTTGCTTCTTTAACTGGATAACCTTTCCATTTGACGAGGTATTCAGTGATGTGGACTCATCGCTTCCCTCGCCTGATGGCAGTCTCCTTGTCTTGTAAGATCTCCTCAATTTCATATTCTTCTTGTCCTTTGATTACAGCGCTTCCGGAAAACCTTGAGAATCGATCGAGTTTATTTTTTTTGTATTACTTGATTAGGAAGGACTTGCTCCTGCCCTTCGCTACCATTATTGTAGAGATCTTCACGATTGCCAGGTATTTGACAGGTACCTGTGGGTAACCCGGCATCCATACCCAGCAGGTACACATCTGTGGATGTCACAGTATCTGTGACACCCGGGTGCTGCATGGATGCTGGGTATGGCTCTGCATGTGACAGGTACCCATCACAGGTACCCACACAGCCACTGGAATACTCTCTCCTCCCACCACCTTGCCCTCTCACGGATCTTCCTGGTGCCCAGACATGGTTCAGTCAGTCATTTTACCTTAGTCCTTCATCCTAGACATCAATTCTGAACTCCCACATGTCTACAGTCTCCACCCACATCAAATCTCCACCTCATAAGCTCAGATCAATATCTTGTGACGATGATTTTTCCATCATTTTTCACCCGTTTTTCTTGCGTCTGGAAGCGTTCGAAAGCCCCAGTTCATGGCTTCAAACCGACCCCTTATTCGCTAAAATTGGCCACTTCATTGCAGAGTTATGGCAGGATCTTTGTTTTGGCAGGGGATGGAGAGCATATTCAAGATATCTTGGGTTCGGATGGGTGCTTCCCTACATACTTGGTACGCTCTCAAAGCTCTTTTTTGACATATCCTGACGCTGCCTTAGTGTCCATTATCTGTTACCATCTCACGGTGCTGCTCCCTTATCATTGCCCTCACTGTCTGACTCAGCCATCATTTTGTTCAGTCCATATCTTTTTCGCTTTTTGATCGTTTCCCTTCGTTCTTAGGGCGTTCGAAAGCCCTTGTCAATACCTTTCAGACGACCCCGGCACAACCCCATGGCGTTTCTCCCTGCTCCGGCAGTGTCACCATCACTATAGGTCAGCATCCTCTCTTCCTCCTCCTCCTTATTCACTGTGTGAGGCTTAATGCCAGACAGATTAGTTACTTAGATGTTAGTTACATGTATAGTGTAGTTTATTGTACTTTATTGAGTAAGAATTGCACGGGTATTATGCAGGTACTCATGCAAGTACCTGCAGGTACCTGTATATACCAGGGTAAGTGTGGGTACCTGCCACGGATGCAGGTACCCATGGTGCGGGCCAGGTCATCCGTGCCACGGATGTTGGCATGGATGGTGGGTATGGCATTTGAGCCACGGGTACCCGTGGTCACGGATGCGGATGTACCCGGGTATGCAATCATGAAGACCTCTACATTATTGTGTATCATATCTTGCACATGCCCTACCGATACATCAGCCCAGACCTCAAAGAGTGCACTCTGCGCCTTTGGGAGCTTGGTTGGACAAAGGAGCTCATTGTTGAGAGCCTCGCCATTTCCCAGGCCAGTCTATACAGATGGAATGACATCTTTCTTGAATATGGCAACGTTGCTCACCCTCCTGAATCTTACAATCCTCGTGGATGCCACAGGATCTTGACTCGGTCTATCCTTACAGCAATAAAGGATGTCTATAGGGCAGAAGCTGACACATATCTGGATGAACTGTGTTGGTGGCTTGCGGTCGAACATGACATTGTTATATCTACTTCCGCACTCCAGGAGAACCTTCGAGAGGCTGGTTTGACATGGAAGCTGCTTCACAAGATAGCTCATGAGCAAGATGAAGCTCTACAGATGGAATTCAGAGCAACAGTGAGGGATAACTCAGCAGGAGATGGGGAGGAGTTTGTCTTTCTTGATGAGATGAGCAAGAAGGACCATGATACAGCATATTGGTATGGCTATGCAATGCAGGGGGAGCATGCTGATTTTGTGGACAATTTTGTGTGTGGGGATCAATATTCACTGGTCACTGCACTTGCTCTTGATGGATATATTGCACACCGAGTCATTCCTGGATCATTTGACTTCATGAAATTCTTTGATTTTGTCACAGAAGATGTGGTGAGTGAATTGTCCATTTCTACATACAACATACTCACATATACCAAGGTCACTCAAATGAAATCATTTCCACAGCCACGAAGTATTCTCATCCTCAATAACTGCCGCATACATCATAATGAGGCCCTTATTGACCTTGTCAATGGTGCAGGTAGGGTCCATGCTTACGTCTTAACCTAGAGATAGTCTAACCTGTTGCCAATGACCAGGCTGCTTGCTTCTCTACCTGCCTCCATATTCACCAGATCTGAATCCGATAGAAGAGTCATTCAGCACTTGTGAGTAAATCTCTGTTCTGTTTCGAGTCAGCTGCTCATTGAGTGTCTAGTAAAAGCCTTTCTGAGACATCATGGCATACAAATCCATGAGAACAACAATCCTGAAATGGCGCTTCTGGAGGCATGTGGATGTGTCAGTAGAGAGCAAGCTCGTGGTTGGTTCAGGCATGCTGGTTATATCTGGGATCAATGATACATTCCATTGTTATTCTGATGTGATTTGTATACATGATGGTACGAGCGATGAGGTGTGTAAAGCTATTGGAAAGGTGCAGGTAGTGGTATCAAAAGCGAGATAATCAAAGTGAAAGCAAGGTAGCAAAAGCGAAAGCAAGGTAGCAAAGCGGTACACATACTATACGTCCCAAAATCCATTCTTGACATCCTGGATAAAGTGCTTATGCTTCGATAAAAAATTGTCCCAAAGAAGTTTGGAGAATCCAGCAAACCCCTGCCAATCGTCACGTCCTAGATGCTCAACACAACAGTCTCCTGGCTGGAACTTGAGCTTTGTCAGATGCTGTTTATCTTCATCATCGATGAAATAGTGGTCACAAAACTCTGTGAGAGAAACTGGACGTGGGAGTGCCATTTTCATGGGTGAGTTGGGCGTGGAATTGGTCACATCATGGAGTAACAGAGTATGGGGCCTATCATTGGGGTATCCGTAAGGCTGTGCAACATGGTGTGCTCCATGTGCCATGTGAGGATACAGAGCAAACAGCATGGGAGGAGGATAGCCATAGTATGGGGGGAATCCATATGGATAGTGCGGTTGCATACCAGGCAGAGCATGAGGCGGGAGGACAGGTGCAGTGGGAGCGGTGGAATCAATATTGTTCAAGACTTGAGTACCAGTTGCCGGGGCCTTGAGGCGCCTGTCATGGGCAAAATGCATACTTACAGGAGGTTTATCTTTGTCCGTACGTTTCTCAGCCTAATGCACATGTCAGTGTTGTGGATAAGATGCAGCATATATGGACGTACTATCACTACTGCCCAGACAACAACATTCGCCCCATTGATCTCCCAGCAATTCTGAGTTCTGGGCTCACAGTAAACATGCTTGAGCAGCCAGCATGGGTCATTCCCAATGGGGTACATGCTGTAAATCTCACTGATTTCATTGGCGTATTGGTGATTGAGTAGATCCTAGCGCCATTCATCAGATTACAGTTATTGCCAACCACCCTTGCTTGACGCACCTTTTGTTCGTGAATTGATGAACCGATGGGTCCTTGAGAAAATTCTTCAAGCTCAGCGTCGTCCTTATGCAGATTCATGTTGGCAGAGGGCTACACCATTAGCATGATGGTACAGAGTAACAAATACCAGAAGCTCACAAGTTTTTGCACCTTTGAAAGTGGTGGAAGGAAAACAGTGATTGTCATATCCTTTCCTTTTGATGAAAGCTTTGAGAGTCCTGAGATGAGGGCCTTGTATCCATCTGGGCTTGAAAGAGGTTTCTTTGAGTCGTTCTTGGGCGTATTCTGCTTCCACGTCAACTTCTTCTGATTTATTGCGGATGCAGATGCGGAATGGCCTTCAGGAACAGCAGCAGATGCAAGAGCATTGAGGAAGGTAGATTGTGAGTCGCCAAGAGAGAAAAAGAAGGGGCCATGATGCTCAACAGTGGGCTTTGCTCTGAGTGTACGTCCTGGAGCAACAACCTCGATGTATGCAGTGATTGTTGGGATGTTCTCATCCTCTGTCCTCGCTTTTTTGCTGGGCCGTTGAGTCAATGTATTGCTATTGTCATCATCTCCATCATCGTCCTTCAGCTGATCCTCCCTGTCATTGTCACTGCTGCTGTCAGTCACCGAGCCATCCTCTTCTGGCATGTTACGGTTATTCATTTTCTTTCCTTTTGCTTACATGTTTTCTTCACGTCATATGCTTCTTTCTTGCAATCAGTACAGATGCATTCTTACAGTACTATTTTTAGGCATATCATTGTGTATTTAAGTAGAGCCTCAGCTGGTCTAAACCCCAGCTTCGGCTAAGGTTTAATCTACCCAACTCGAACTCCTTGTTTCACGTCTATCTAAGTTTGCTCCCACTCATTCCATACAAGCTTAGGCCTGTGAGTGTATCGATCCACTGAAGTGCGAGTGGCGATCCTCGTTTGATCTAGTTTGTAGAGTTGGTGGCTAACATTTAGCCGAAGCTCGACATCTATTGCTCAGCGCCACGTCGGAGAACGAACGCTGCCCAATACTTTTATGAAATCTATACTCTCTGCCAGACCAGAAAGGTTACTACCATGTGTTTGAAAGGACAATCTCAGGGATTGTTAGCACACTGTAGGTGAACCAACAGAAAGGCAAACCCACCACATTTCCAAACTGTTAATCTTTATCACTATCGTTCAACTCCTCATGGTGGCAGTGGTCATACTGCTTATTGTGACAAGCGAACTCTTCCTGAGTCTAATCGTCACCTTGCTCATCGTGACCATTGGACTCTTCACCGATTGAATCCAAAAATGCCCATGCCGCTTGCTGAATTGCTTCCTACGGTCGCAGTAGCATTCGGATTACTGGCAGGGGCACTCCTAGCAATTGCCATTAGGGCAGTGTACAGGTGTTGCACCCATGCCTGTAGGGCCCGACTTCCATTCCATTACATTCTACATCTCCCAATCCCGTATCCAACGACTCCATACCCGCACATTCCAGTGCAACCGACACTTCACGATGGCAGACCCATCACACCCAGAGGATCTCTCTCTGCCGGGGAGTCTTCCCCCACCCCAAGAGCATCCTCCGTCGACATCACAGATGTACGAGGAATTGATCTCAGAGACAGCGACTTTTCTGCCTCAGGAATCGTCGACCTCCCTCCCATTGGAGGAGAGGAAGGAGGGAATATAGTCGAGGGCGAAGAAAGCAATGATGACCTCACAGAGTTCGAAAGGATCTGTCTCCAAGACCTCCTCGACGGTGTCATGATGGAAGAAGGGAATGACCCCTATTCCAGAAGCAAGTACCTCACCGCGGAAGCAGACACAAGAGAGTACTTCCATGGAGACAACCTTGCAGAAGACAGCAGAGAGCTTGGCCTTGGGGCCTCCACCGCAACTACCACCGGTCCAACTACTGCAGACCCCTATGACAGAAGAATTGCACCAGGCGGCGGAAGAGAGTGGCAGGGGATCCCTGTGGCATGGTACCCCCACACAAGTTGGGTCTTCACCCAGGAAGAAACTCCTGTGGCCGGAGTATCAGCCCAAGCCACAGGGCCCGAGAACACCCCTATTAAGAGGACCATTGCCCTCCCCGCCGAAACAGAGCAGCATATCTGGGACACCATTGAGGCGTACAACCCGGACACTAACCCTGATACCGCTGGAGGAAGTACCTCCGCCAATGAACTCCCCAGAGTCCCTGCTTTCACCCTGTCAGTCGTGCCAAGGGCATTCGCAGCCTCCGTCCCCTTCAATCAGTGACCGTGGACCGATGAGTACCATGCGCTCGTCGAGTCCAACTTCGACCTTCGAGCTGCCAGGATCACCCCTGAAGGAGTGGCACGAATGGACAGAGCAAGAATGAGCAGTGCACGCTCCTGAAATGCCGAGCATCGTGCCATACGAGACCATGAGTACCTCCCCCTTGAACCGGACGCCACGGATGATGAGGCACGAAGAAGAATCAGAGCTGCAGAGCTTCGATTCCACGAAGCACTACAGAGATCTGACGATGAAAACATCCGCGATGAGCTCCGATATCAGTTCCTCAATGAGGTCTTCGACGAGGATTGCTCAGATCTCGCAGAGTGGAGGAGGGGGTACAACCTCAGAGAGAGGCGATGTAGGGAGTCCAGAGAGGACCAGTGGGACCTCTGATAAAGTCACTGGATCGATGCCAAAGAAGCCACCCAATGCCGCCATCGCAGGAGAAGTGATGAGACAGGTGAGGGCAGTTCTCACTAGGTCGGTGAAATATGTGCCGGCCATATTGGTGTTCTTAGAGTGGGAAGCATTGTATGAAATCATGGCAGAGGACATGGTACAAGACCCTCAATGGCTTCTTACCAAAGCAGGAGAAGATTACATCAACGCAAGGCACGCCGGAGATGTGTACTTGATGAGGAATATTCTCGAAGTAGACGCCTGGCACCGGGCTGCCATAGTATGGAACATGTGCAACCCCAACTCCCAGCGACCTGGATGCACCGCATATCGTCGACCAGCACCAATGCCTAACCCTTTGGACGTAATAAGGTTACAAGCAGGAGGAGGAGGTGGAGGAGATGAATGGGCCGAAGAAGAAGGAGAAGCCGGACCCTCCAACCTCAACAAAGGAAAAGGGTCAACAGTTCCACCCATGCCCAGCAAGATGCCAGCAGGACCACCACCCCCAATACCTCCCAAACCAGGAGGATACCCATCGCCGGGTCATAACCCAAAATTACGATCCTTACCATGACCCCCGAACCCTCAGATTCCACCAATGCCACCACTGGGTACCCCACCCATGTGGCAGCTTCCCCCAGGAGCAACAAATAACCCTTGGAACGATGTAAAGCCCAAGTTAATTATGCAACCAGAGTACTTTACGGGAGTGTCTTCGGACATTACCAGGTACCTCCATCACTGTGAGCTTTACTTTCAGGTGTTCCCAATGTATTACACACTTAACACGGCCAGGCAGAATCCCTACCGTATCACGTTCGCCCAGTCCTATTTGCGAGGGGACGCACAAAAGTGGTGGAACGACCAATACTATCGATACCGCGATGAGCACGGTCACTGGAGATTACCCTCGTGGTTTGAATTCACCGAGGATCTCACGACCCACTTTCGAGAAGTAGCGGAGATAGCAATTTGGAAGCAGGAGTGGAAAAAACTCCACCAGGCAGACTTTAAATTGGCAATAGAGTTCTTCATGAAGTTCGAAGAACTGGCCCACGAGTGCGAGGAGTTCGGAGACAAAAAGCAAATGTTCAAAGCCATAGAAGCTGCTGTTAGGCCCACGGTTCGAACCACCATCATGCACGGGGACAATGCTCATCCAACCACATATGCAGAATGGAAGTGGTGCATCGAGAGAATCGATGCCAACTATCAATACGGCCTTGCGCAACAGCAAGGCAATAAGCCCTCCTTGAACCAGAGTAGCGGTTCGGGTCGAGGCCATCAAAATCAGTCATCCGGGAAGACCAGAGGTTCTGGAAGCACTGGTGATAAGAAGGACGCCACAGGTGTGACCTATGGAGGAGCAGGACAGCCGATGGAAATCGATAAGCTGCGGAGCGAGAAGCGATGCTTCAAGTGTGGAAATACCGGGTGGAGCTGGGACCATAAATGCCCAACAGACAAATCAAAATGGATCCCCGTCAAGCTCCCCCCTTGCAAGAAGATCCCCGCTCAACGGCTATGCCAATTACTCGCTGAGGCAGAGAAGGAGGAATTAGGAAAGGACATGAAGGACAAGGAGGTCAAGGAGGACAAGTCATCAAAAGACGAGCCGGTGTCGAAATAAGCGATTTGATGGTGTTGGCAACGAACTTAATTTCTAGTGGTACGAGCTCTCTTCACGCTGGTCGGACTTATACTACATATGTAGGTACCCCATATGAACAATATCATAACATTTTCGCTGCGCTCGCTATCGAAGAAATTAAGGATCAAGAATTGCAAAACGCCAATGGCATAGGAGGGGATTTCTGCCGCTCCATGCAGTTCACGTCTAGCAATGAACCCTGAGGGGCTGTCCTACGGGAACCCCCACCTGACAGTATGGGGAAAGTTCCAGATGCAACAGAGAGGCCCTCATGTCAGGACCAGGTTGGGCCCAACCGCCCCAGTCAGGAAGAATGGTCGACAACCCAGGCTGCTGTTCCTACCCCAATTGTAGCAGTAGTCAGTGCTGGAAAAGCAGCTGAGGCAAGGAACCAGGAGGACCACCCCCACTCAGTAGCCACATGAACGCAGAATGCAGCAGCAAAAGGTGGGGACCCTACTGGCGAGCCAACATGTGTGCGTCCACAAAGGGTTACTGGGAGTACGGCCAGGTTTCCCAAGGATAAGGAAAAGGATAACGAGGAGGTTACAACACTGTGCACAAGCGCCCTTGGCCAGGGCCGAACAAAGGGCAGAGAGCCCTCCTCCTCCAACTCGACGGAAGGTGACCAAGTGCCGCTGAGGGGTCCTTCTCGACCTGGTGACCAACTGCCACCTCGAGACAAGAAACTCTTCATGTCATTGGAGGAGGTTGAGGACGAAGAAGCCTACCTCCGCTCCGATATACCTATTACACCCCAAGGGAGGACCCACTCCGTTCACGCTGATGTTATCCAAACCCATAAACAGATTCCCGACACATACTATGAACCCTTCGGACTGCACTGGACCTGATGGGCGATCCGATTAGCCACCAACAACTCCGTGATGTGGGCTATCATGAACGGTTGGGTACATCCCGCTCGAAAAAGCGAAGTAACCCCGGAATTGATAGAAGCACTTAAAGAGCAACTGGAAACCACGTTGGAAGCGAGGGATAAGTGGGAGTGGCTAGAGGACTTAAAGAAACTGCCCATGTACATATGAGGGAGAAAGGGGCACAATGTATCTGTGAATTTGCAGTTAGAAACGCTTGATACCCAGGACATTCACAACCTCAAAGCCCTGGTAGATAGCGGGTGTACTGGTAGCACCATCGACCGAGCCTGGGCCCAAGATCATGGGATCAGAGTCCAAAAAGTGGCCCGACCTACCTCTGTTTATAACGCAGATGGGACGAGGAACAAGGGCAGAGATATCACTGAATATGCCAATGTCCGGATACGCATAGGAGACCACTCTGAAAGGATCGAGCTGGCAGTAGTTGACCTGGGAAGTACTCCCGTATTCCTAGGGCACGACTGGCTACAGAGGCATAATCCTCTCATAGATTGGAAAACAGGGTCTATTACCCTAGCTCGGTGTGGGTGCAGGAAGATACCTTTCGCCCTTCCTGACGAGGACCCCTCTGCTAGATGGGGAGAAGAGTATGAAGAGGGAGACACCATTTTAG